CATGTTCGTACGAACCCTTTGTACGAACAAAAGTAAGAGAAATTTAGGATAAAAATACCAACATGTTCTTACATGAGGCCCACTGTTCTACTTTTGTTGCTTATCTTATTCACCCTGCGTCATCACAGAAAATGTCATATTGACAACCCCCTCCCAGGCTGTCTTGCACTCTTGCGGGTTGTTTAACTCAATTTTCCTTTTGTGTATTTCAAGCTGTTGTTAAAGGTAACACAACTGTGTTTTGCTGCATGACCTGTTTCACCTGTTCTCCCATGTTTGTCTTGTATGTCTTCTTGAAYGGGTGTTTCTTAACTGCYCCTCCCCCTTMCCTGAATGTACAGCACCTTGTGAGTTTACCTCTGTGAAAGGAGCTATTTAAATAAAACTTTACTTACTAYATGTTTGTTTTTAACAAGGCTTTCCTTCAGTAACTTGTGTTTTCTCTTCCCATCAGTGCTGTGCAGGTAGACGTGTTCACTGTTGTGTATCTGAAGTTTGACTCCCTGGTACGTGACAAACATAACACTTTGATTTCACGTCTAATCAGTCAGTTACATGTCATGTGCCCTGTTATTGTCCACAGCTGGCACATGAAGTGAGGCAAACGTTAGCCCTGATGGAAGGCCAGATGGATGGGAAAGTTGCACAAAGCCTGTTTCAGGTTTACCTGAGCTTGAAGGGCATCCATAAGGACAAGGCTTTCCTGCAGAAAAGGTCAGAAACATAGTCTGATATCACCACAACATCTTTGTTTCCAGCTGTGGTCAGAAACTGGAAAAAAAAAAAAAGAAAAATCAACAGGAGAGCTAAAGTTTCCTCCAGCAAGGCTGTCTGGAGSTTTATCAGCAACCACCCAACAAATTTGTTTTGTGCAGACAGTTTTATTCTGTTAAAACCCAGGCTTTTGCTTGGTAAGCATTTTTAACCACAAGGACATCATAAACAAAACAACTCTGCTTTTTAACAGTTAGGATTTAAAAATCTAAATAACATTAAAAATGAAACTTAAAAGTTTAGTGTCTCTGAGTAAATATAACTGGCCTAAAACCAATGTCATCAACATACTGTAC